ATCACACGGAAAAGCTCAGCCGCCAGTGATACGGCGAGATTGAATGTGCGGCAAGCGGTTCGCACTTGTAGAAGGTCAATCGGCCGAGGTGACTTCCTGCATTCGATCAGTGTGTTGCGATATATGAATAATATCCGATTAAAAAATCGGATATGATGACGGTCATATTTTTAAGTGACTTCCGAAAGGAGGTTCTCGATTCGTATGTATTTTTTTTTTGTGGTTTCGTCATTAATTTTTAACTGTTTTTGATCATCAATTAATATCACGGATTCAACCTGCATAATTTAAATATCTAATAATGAATATGACCGATACAGTATTATACTGTATGTATACAAAATCTGGGTGTTTATTATATAATAGGTAAGTGTGTAAAAAAAGTATCTTAATATTACTATTAATTGTGTGGTACTGTTATACATATTTTGCTTAGTTTAAGACTAGATGGCACTGTGTAATGTCTCCAGTGATATCATAGATATCACAGTGATTGTTAATAAACAAATATATGTTTGTTTACTTATAATCAATAGAGTTTACTTCTATAATTGGTTTTAAATTAGTTTTGTGCTTATTGAAAACGTTCTTTATCCTCGCGAAGCTAAAAAAAGGAAATGTTTGTTGAGAAACGAAATTAATAGTATTTTGCGCAAAAAATATTTTATCGTTCATCGGTGTGTTCATCATAATTGAAGTCGCTGTTTTTTTACACAACAAAATTAAAATCAAATTTTACTTGTGAAGATATAAAATAAATGCTAGTTACCACTTTCTACTCGTCTATTGTATCGTACGTTTACTTAAAACACTATAAAACCACGTATAGTGCAAAAATCATAGATTTGATTCATCATCAAACCATAAAAAAACGAAATTTTAGCAATAATAGTTTCTTTGGTAGTGCCAAATAGTTCGGTATACTTTGAAAATCGATCCAATTATTTATTTCAATTCATAACTTACAATCGTTATTGCCACATAAATAATTTTGCAGATATTTCCACACGGTTGCTTGACCTGTTAAGAAATAATATTATTGAAATTTTGTAATTTAAATGGAAAAATATTGAATTTAGGACTCTTTTGTGAAAGGCGACCTTTCTGTACTTTAAAATTTAGAATATTTTTAAAACAAAACTTTTTTTTAAATGCAAAGGACAAACGAGTGTACAGTCTAATTGCTAACCAGATAATACGAGACTATGACTAACAATTACTCGATGTGTTCTTATTCCGTCATTACTTGGAAAATTGGATTGACATGAATAAAGTAAGAAGTATTTTCCCATCTCAAAAATACCCAATTCATATGATTTTAGTACAAAACATTGGTAGTTAGTTAGTACTCATTATTAGGTCTAATTCTGATCAGTGTTAACAGCTCGAATTAGTGTAGGAATATTTAGAACTCTGGACTAATGATAATTTACTACGAAATAGCAATTACCGTAAATACTTATTAAAAAGATTTATTGGAATACTACATATATATGATATGTATGATTATGTACGTTGCGTTTAAGATCCAGACTTTTTTAAGAGATTTAAGGGTTCCCTCTTGTCGGTGCAACTAATTCATGTATTTACTTTCAGCCAGCTCTATTTCAGGCAATATCTTTGACCTCCCTATACGACATGACATCTAGTGTTTACTTTATCTGTCACATGTACTTATTTCTCGGTCTTCCCTTTCCTCTTATACCCTCTATTATTTCTTCTACTCGTACTATGCTCTTTAAAAAATCGTCATGTCGTATAAGGTGGCCCAGCATTTTGCCTCTTCTATTCTCTATTGTTTTTATTAATGTTCTTTTTTCATTCACCCTTTTTGATACTTCATCATTCGTTACTTTTTCTGTCCAGCTTATCTTTTTCGTTCTCCTCCATATCCATATTTCGAATGCCATATACAGATATATACTTCTAAAATATTATACTTATTGTTATTCAAACTGTATTCGATTTAGATTTCTAAACTGAACTATTAAATCAATTTTGGTAAAATATCTATGATTTTCGAATGTATTTTAGAAATCGGTTTATAACTGACTGAAAAGGTGACAAACCTAAAACAATGTAAAGGAATTGAGAACCTTTGAAGCCGGTTGAAAAGCAATCTAGTGTAGACGCACTTAAATCGCCTTAAAACATTCTGAAGCCATTTGAAACATTTTTAAATTTGGACTGTCGTAAATATAATTTTAGTAGCACATGAACGTGGCTGTAACAAGATTCAATTAGCACGTCATATTGCCCATAAACCAAACATAGCAACAGTTAATTGTTTCAGTAATGATTCCGTCACAGTTTACTTTGCTTTATTACAATACAGCATCGAATTCTTTGAGGATTTATCCGACTAAACCTATTTCTATTATATTTTTTTTTATACGACTTAGAATGGCAAACAACCTGACGACCCACCTGATGGAAAGTGGTAACCGTCGCCTATAGACATGAGCAGTACCATGGACATAACAGAATATACTGTTTCGTCCATGATACGCCCCATGCATTGTCATTCCTGAGGGCTCAGGTGTTATTCCTCTGTACCCAGTAAATTCACGCCACATCCCACCCTTCAAACCGAAACACAGCCATGCAAACACAACTGCTTCACTGTAGAAACACGAATGTGACAGAGGTGTTCAAGCAAACGACTTTTGTACAGTCGCTCTCTCCAAAATTTAAGTGTAATCTATTTTACCACAAAAAAGTTCATCTTGCGATAACTAGGTGTTCAATACATGTTTAGACGACAGCCTACAAAAACGTAGACGCGCTTTTGTCTGTTTGTAAGTATGTAAAAGAAAATTTATGTAAAAAATAAAAGCTATTTGAAGTAATCAATTTAATTGTGTAATCTATAGATTTAGATGTACATACAAAATCACAAACAAATATTATCCAATTGACTAAACAGTTAAGTTCCTGTAATATTAGTGTAATATAGTGATCAATAAATAAACAACATTTAGTCACTTAAACAAAACTTTGTTAAACACTGTTTAGACACAAGCAGTGTTTTAAATATTATTTATTTTTATTTAATAGTAATATTTATTTTTATAGTAAGGTCGAATATGTCTATAAAACATTTTCTTGTGCATCGGTACATTTTATTCGTTTTAAAATAGGAATAGTGAAATTAACTATAAATTTTTTTTTCTTTTTTTAATAGCCTTCATTGACGTTTAGCGAAATTTGCTTTTTTATTTAAAATTTGTATAGGCACAGGAGTTAAATTAATTAAAAATTGAATACCGTAATTATCGAATATTATTACCAATTACATCCTTATTAAGCTCTACAGAAAGGTCAGATTTGCACGCACTTGTTTAGTTTTCCGTGTAGGTATGAATATTGATACAAAGACATAGAGTTTTCTGCATATTTTTTTTACGAGCAATAAAGTATATTGTTATTAACATATTATGCTAATGATTATAAGGATTTTAATAAGATCCTTGTTTTGCAAAATGATTCTCTTTGTTGTAAATTCCGGCTTAACGCGTTGTCACTCCCGAGAATTTGGGTGTGAATGGCTTTCGTTGTTTTATATAATCCAATTTAATTAGAAGATTATACAAGGTTAAATTGTGATCATTATCGTCATTTTAAAGGTCTGTTTACCAGTGAATTAAAAATAAAATATGAAAAAGAAAGATAAATTTATTAAAAAAATATATATCGAAAATGGTAATAAAATTTTTAGTTCGACTGATTCAAATTTGATCAAAATTTAAATTTCCTATACTACATGCAATGACAAACTATTTTATTGACTATGCACTTGTCAATTTATGTTTCTTTAAAAATAATTTAGGATTGTGCTTCATAAATAAAAAAAAAACCGACTTCAGTCATGGCAAAATCAAATATTTTATTTATAAAATCCAGTTATTTTGATTTAAAAACTAAAGTAACAAACCGATTTTGATATGATATGTCTGAGACTTATTTGGAAGTATGTCTTTTCAATTTAAAAAGAGTTTTTTGAATTGACCATACATAAAAAATTTTTAAAGAGAATCTCATCCTTTTTTTGAAGTCGGTTACAAATATTTAAAATCATTGATATAAAATACTGTGATAAATATATATGAATAATTTTCATTTACTATTGTATATAGGTAGGTATATAAAAATTTACTTCAAAATGTATATATTTCTGAATGTTTGTTATTTATTTATATGTCTGTATTACGTTATAATATTAATATTCATGTTTAATAAAATATCGTTTTATTATTCATATTAAATTAATCATATAAATTTATAATAATAAAAATAATTATACTACTTCCTATGTCACTGTGTTAGGTTGACTGGAAGAAATCTCTTTTAAGGACACGTTCGCCTTTGCTTTAATTTATTACTATGTAATTTGTTATTATTACTGCATGTTTTAGTGCAATAAATGATATATAATATATAAGAATATATATAATGTAGCTTTCTATAGATGAAAGAAATTTTAAAATCTTTTCTCATTATGATGTGAGTACAGATACTTGCTGTATTGTCTCGGCATAAAATAAGCCACCCTTCCCTTTCTTGTAGGTGTCTTAAGAGACAACTAAGGGAGGGCGAGGGATGGGCAGCAGCGTCCCTCTTAAAACATCTCCAAAGCCTAACTGCAGTTGCCAAACCACCTGCTAATTATGGCAACTACTAGAACACCCCTCCCCCAGACTTATGGTTGGCAGTCGATTTTTTAGAATAACATTAATTTTTATCATTTCAACATTATTATAATATGTTCAACCAAATATTACTAAGAAAATGAGGATCCGTAAGACAATTTATGGTTTTACCCCGTATCTTGAAGTTTTATACTCAACATTGATAAAAAAGCTTTCACAATAATAAATTTCTAGTAGGTAACAGTCGCATCTTATATCACATAAGAGGATTTTTACACTAAATTGTCACAATTTTATTACAGCACTGTTTATATTACGTTCGAAATAAAAAGAAAAATATTATAAACATACCGGTATCGCTGGTCGCGCCGCTACGTGTTCACTCTGCGCCCGCGCAGCACTGACTCACTGGCGAATTGTCTTCCCATTGCCTTGACCCCGCTCCGAAATGTTTAAATGTTGATATCGAACTGATCTATTTTTTTTTTTATTCTGATAGTGGATTTGAATTTTTTCTTTTAAATTCTGATTATGGAACGGAATATGGTAGTGAAATTACAGGGTATGAACATACTCTACCCGGATCACTTTAGTTCTTAGAAATGACAAAGCATGAGGGGTATCATGGGCATCACAGTATATACTGTGACACCTATAGTACTGTTTATATCTATGGTGATGATTAGTATTTTCTATCAAGTCAGTCATCAGCTTGTTTACTAATTTAAGTATTATAAAAAAAATTGTAAAATTTTAATTTCTGTATTGACCTGCCTCGGCTTCGCAAGGTTTTCCTTGAAAAAGATAATTTATTATATTTTTCAAAGAAAACCTTGTTATATTATATTTTAAATACAGCACGTGTTACACTTTAATAATATAGTTTATTACAGCTAAGAAGTTTTTCAAAATCGCTTAGATATTTATAAAATTTATCCATTACAAACAAAAAATCAAAACTTACCTTTTTATAATATTAGTCAAAATTTTTGCTTTTATATGCAATTTAAAATGGTAAACAAACTAAAGCTGTGGTAATATTTCCATCAGGCCTACCTGATGGAAAGTTTACCACATTCCGTCAGGAAGACGTTGCTATGAAACATGGAGATTACAGAATATACAGTGACGTGAAGTACTTACCTCTCACGCGTTGCCATTCCTGAGCAATAAGATTTTATCTCTCTGTTCACTGTGATATCAAAAACCGAAACCCAACCATGCAAGTTTAACTGCTACCCACCAAAAGCGGGAGTGGGGCAGAGTCACTCACGTAGACGTTGTTTGTTCAAATTTATTAAATTGTTCAAGAGGTTTTAAACAAAATAAACTAAATAATAAATGAATTGAAAACTCTTTATAGTTTTGATCAAAGAAATATACAGTTTCACATAAAAATATGTAGATAAAGACAGTATTACGTATAGAAGAATAATTATTTTTTTCAAGTTGAATTCAAATGTGGATTTAAATTAATAGTTTAATTTAAATAATAAAATATGTAAATGAATCTTTACGCAACGCTTTATTATATTAGAAGACAGTAAAGATAAATTGTCGCTCGATTATCAGACAGCCAGTCGCCTATAGACGTGAATAGCACTTTGAATGTCACGGAATACACTGTGACGCCCATGATACTCCTCTGAGTTACAATTTATAACGGCTTACGTGTTGTGCATCCGTACTACATAATATACATAACAATTATAGTATAAGTATTCATACCTAGTAGTTTTATTGCCTTATCCTACCTTTTAAACCGAAACAGGCATGGAGTTTTGCGTAATTTTTATTATGAACTATCGAAAGTGTCATTGATTGATTATACTTAGGTTCAAATTCAAATTCAAATCATCTTTATTCAAATATATTTGTTTACAAGCACTTTTAATTACATTTTTTATGAATTCAGGGTTCACAAAGTTATTAACTAAGATTAACGGAAAACAACATTCGCAGACGAAATAAAATTAAATGTAAATCATTTATCTTATCTAATCTTATATTCGCATATGGGGTCAGCTAAGCTGTTACACGTCGACCCATTGAGATCTTTTGTGCTTCCCCCTGCCTTATATCATCATTTCATAGATAATGTAAATCATTAATATAATAAACATTTTAAAAGGTTAAAATTTCATAATCATTTTATTTCCCTTGCGAATTTGAAAATAAATTTCTATTTCTGTTTTCATATTTTTTAAATCGATTCCCAAATGAATTAATTTATTTATTTCAATTAATTCGTCTACACATATACATTACGCGCCAACATTAAACCAATATTAGTGATTCTTTTTACCATCGATAGGGTTTTTTTACATATTGATCCAATATAAATTTCGTGATAATTTGAAGCTACCATTTTTACTTGCGGAGCAAAACTAACTCCATCTACGAAAATTCACAACTTTTATTAGTGTTTCTTGTTATTTAAAACTTGTGATATATTTATTAACAAGATATTGTATCAATAAGGATGGATATTTGAACAAAATATTTACTTTACTCAGGTGCAGTCGGCACATAAGTTTATATATACTTATATTTGATTTCACAGCTGTTTCTTTTAAAAATATAAATGAGAGATCTATTTCATATTTTCAATGTGAGTTTAGTTTAGTGAGTAACAGATATGATACAAAAACTACCAATTTGTGTACAATGTACTTTTTTTTAAATCTGTGAAAATAGAATCGTAACTCCGCCTTCATTATCGATATACGTTGGTGGGGTACCAGTGATGATAGATGATAGGTGAGAATGAAGGCAGGTCAGTCGGCCAATCGTGAAGACTTCGACAAAAATTAATTACAATGATCTCCAGGCGGAAGGGCCTATAATAGTCTAAATACCCAATGTATTTTATTAGCAATGAGGCTGTTAGAACACATTACTAACAATCCCTTTTCCCTTGTATAATAGACTATATATATCTATTTATACATCCATTTAAATAATATCAAATACCTAAGTAAATATAGTTACATACATAAACTTTAGTCCTCAGGAATGGCAATGCATGAGTGTTCTAATAGGTATCGCGGTATACTCTCTTTGATGTCCATGATACAAATGTTTACAGAGACAGTTTCCATTTTTCAACAGTCTTTTCCGTCAGCTTGTTCGCCATTCAAAACAATACCATTAAAAATATTTATAGTGTAAAGCTATATCATCCTTTTAATGAAGTATTCTATAGTAACTGTATTATTCTCTAGTAACTAATTTCAAAAACCTTCCAGCTAGTGTAAGGATATTTTTTTGTTATGACAAAAATCTATGGAGTCTGTGTCACTTTTTGTTTCTTCTTCTTTATTTTATTTTCATGATAGAACACTCGTTAAGAAGAACGTTAATGCTTGCAAATTCAGCTTGTAGGTTTAATTTAAATACATACATATGCATACACGCATACATACATACACAACAAAGAGAACTATTTTACCGCATCTTCCAACTAAGAGCATTTATACTGTTAATTACAGATGCTATACTAGATGTTCACCTATGTTAATGTGCAGAGCATGATTCTACAGTTTGGACGCTAATTACAAACTGTTCTTAATATAACATTGAATTTAAATCAGCTCGGCAAAATATGGGCAATTAATAACTATGTTTGTCACAACGGGTGCATAAGTATGAATAAAAATATGCATTTATTGTTTAATCTGCCTGCAATATTAGGTTCAAATTTATGTGAAAATTAAGAGTTAGTTTCATATTTACATTTTCATACATAGCTTAGCTTAAATAACTTTTAGCACATTTTGCCGTGCACAAATTTTAATCCAACGTCAAAATTTAAGACTGAATTCATCTGCTGTCTTTGATTGAAATATACAATTGACTTTTTTGATTGATTTAATATACTGGATTAAAATATGTGTCAAGATATTGATAATATATTTGGAAAAATATGGGCAATTTAGTGCTACGTTTACCATCATGGGCGTGCCAATTATATATTCTGTATTATTTATTTATTAACTTATTTAAATTATTTATGTATGACTTACTAAAACTACCGTTATACGTATACGTTAAATTCAAAGGTGCTAGGCAAAATGTGGGCAATTAAATGCTACGTTTGCCTTTGACAATCATTTTAGTAATTACAAATTATTTATTGTACGAAACATTGGTGTTAATCATAGTTTATAGTAGTCAAATTCGTACTTAACGTCTTTTGTTTTGGGATCACAAGTTCATAACTACGTGTAAGTCATAACGCTCTCTTCTAAAACAAAAATCTACAAAACTGGAACATGATAATCTTATGAAATCATTCATATCTGAGTACCTATAATGAGATACGTTTAATCGCGAACGCCGGATACAGATTATAAAAGTTTGTGATCATGCTAATACTGCCAAATAGATGCTAGTCGACAAATATAGTTGTTGATATGAATTTATAACTGTTAACGTGATTAAGCGATAATAATACTAACTTTAACCGTGGATGGGGACATATTCACTAACCAGGATAAAAGGTAGCCTATATCCTTCTCTATCCCATATAGTATGTGTAAACCAAATTTAATATTGATTAGTTAAGTTGTTAAGGTAACTAACAAACGAACTTACTTTCACATTGGATAGCATCTGATAATTTTGATTAATTGTTTAACATAACTTGGATTATTAAATAAACCAACGGGCTAACTAGTGGAAAGTGGTAATCGTCACCATATATTATTATTCATGATGACGTTGGTATTCCATTATCATCATCGTATCAGTCGTTATCTGTCAACTGTTGAACATAGACCTCCCCCATAGATTGCCATAAGGAATGGTCCTGAGTCACCTGCATTCACTCATTTCTTGCAATGCATTTGAAGTCGTCACTCCATCTAGTGATCGTCTCAAACTGTTTCCCTATGCGGGGTCGCTACTTAAAAACTTTTCTTCCCCATCGGTTGTCGGTTCTTCGAGCTATGGGGGCAACCTATTGCCTTATCGTTACTATGGTTCTTTTCCTCATTTCAGATTCTGTGATGTAAAGAACGAGTAACATACCTCTGAATAGTAGCATAGATACTACGAAATATACTATGACACCCACGCTATCTATAAAATTTGCCATTCTTTAAAACGTAAGTGTTATGTTTGTTATCGGTTTCCTGCAAATAAACTGCCATATTTTGCCCTCCAAACCGAAACACAGCTATACAAGCACAGCTGGCTTGGCACTAGAAACATGACTGTAACAGATATACAAGCGATTTTTAAACCGACTTCAAAAAAGGAAAAGGCTCTATATTCAACTGGTTTTTTTTATGCCCACCGATGTCCCCGTCAACTATGGGCCTATTATATTTATTTTTTTTCGAAAGAGATGGTCCCTATGTCAGCAACTCAGGACTTGGTAATGGGATTCCAGGAAAATCAAGGACAACCCTCAAATTTTGGTAACTTCAATATATGCTGTTACAAATTTTCTGAA